GAACATAACTGTGCTAATACATGTACAATATCTGTACAGATAAAAAACTAACCTTTTTTCTATGATAAGAAATTTTATGAAGGCTGATTTGTATTTTGCATCAAGGGCACCGGGCGAAAACATGAAAATGCAACAAATGAACCACTTTGTGGTAGATTGTACTTTCATGTTTTCATCTGGCGCCCAGTTACTTTTTGTACTATGTTGGTTTTCATGTGGCACAAATCACCCACTATAAATTTAGTGCACAAATTTATTCAAGGGCAAGTAACAATCTACTCTATGTAAAGTCTGTAGTCGGGTTGACTCAGGAGACCTGGAGGTTGAGACCGGTGTCCCTCCATTACAAATAGATAAGACAGAAGCTATCCTTTTCAAACTATGCACATGTTATTATGTTTGAAAAGGATTATTATAATTAGAATAACTATTCAGAATATTATTTTTTGAGACTTTATTAATTATATTGCTTGATCCAAGTTTAAGGACATTTTCAATCAATACAGGTATTATCATTTATAACTTTAAATGAAAGTCTCATCCCTATAATAATAATGACATAACTGCAACTCTTTAAATTCAGAAATATTATAAGTCTCATCATGCCAATATACTTAGATATACATGTATGCACATAACATAAATAATTCCCAGTTTCTATCAAATAAATATGAAATCCTAACATTAACATTAACATGCTTTTGATGACCTTACAACTGGTAAATTTTATACAACAAAAATAGTATTATAAGTAATACCTAAGACAGACAGAAAAGAACAAATAATTTAGTAAACATGAGTTACTTCCCCTTAAAATAGAGAAAACCTGAAACCCAAAAGAACACCATAAACAGCAAAATTATGAAATGTTCCAGGCTCAGTTTTATTTAGCCATGTAAATCAATGGTAAAGTATTTATAAAAGAATAGATGGCCATGTGACAGCAGTAATTGCAGAAAATCGGATAGCTTTCAACATCCGGATACTGGTACACTTTGTAAAAACAACCATTCTGCGCAACAGATAAACGCAATAAGGATAAAATCAATAGGATAATCGTTTACAACAGTTCTATAACCTATCCTTATACTCATTTGCAGGTGAACTTCCTTCTTGTAGGAAATTTTTGAAAATATATAAATGAATGAATGAATGGATACGGCATCAATGTAGACCACAACGATATTCGAAATCCGGGTTTTAGTATTGTCAATAAAACTAAGGGACAAGCTGTTAAACTTATCCTGCAATTTCGTGGAAATAATATCACAATGCACATGCTTTTTACATAAAGTTATTAAATACAAATATAACAACATATCTGTTTACTTGATTTTTACGAATCAAAATAAAACTAATTAACACAACATGACATTAACTGCTAATAATAACAGCTCCTTCCATAAGCCAAAATAAAAAGCATTCCATAAATGACGACGCCGCTAACCGGCGTCGCCAATTATGTTGATAGTATTTTGAATCAAACGTAACCACAAACCATGACAACATTATACATGGATGTTGTTGGCAATTGTACATGTAAGATACATGATCAGAAAATACATACATTTTTATAGCATTAAATAAAATGTTCTATAACAAAATACTATTTTTCATCACACATATGTTCATACTAAATCACCTACAATTTGACCAGGTTACGTCTTATAAGAATATACAAATGATACATTTCCATTGTTTTTTTTTATCAAAACTTGAAATACTTATTGAAAACATTTGCCCACTGTCCTTGCATTGACTAATAATATATTGACCAGGGTGTTTAGTTATCTTGCTATTTGTGTTTACTGCTCGAATATAAATTGACGTCAAATCATATCACGTATTTCCAACAAACATAAACCACTGATGCTATTTACAAATAGACTTTTGACATCTCTTCCATAACTTGACCATTCGCACTGAATTCGATAACAAAATATTATATTTTAAGACTACTCGCACTTTTATATAAATATACATGCTAAGTTTCGAGATTTTGCAATTTTGTATACATATAAACTGCGAAAACAGCTGTATATTAAAATTGTTCAATGCGATAGATTTAATATAATATCTAATATTAAAACTACATGTAATTGAATAGAATGTTCAAATCGAAATTGCACGTAGGAAATCATTATCTTTAGGAAATATCACAATATTTTTCTATTGCGACCGGAAAATCATTCAGTAGTTTATCACTAATTGTGTCTCCTTTCACACAATGTTCTGTTGAAAGGCATAGACAAGTTATGTGAACATTATTTATTAAGCTTACTGGGCAATATGTTACGTAAAGCGGGTTTTTAATATCAATGTAATTTAGCCGGTGCTATGGGTGGGAGAGTTGCTGTATTCTTACATTATCTTTCATGAACAAACTGAAACAAACCGAGTTTGACATTTTCATATATTATTGTTCTTTTTATTGCTTCTGGGGGATCTTTTGTTCATACATACATACATACATAGAGAATATTTTTTGTGTCTAAAATGAAATGTTATTTCACAGAGTGAGATTTTAAAAACAGTATTCTCACGAGTGGCGTTAATAATAAATTGAACTTCTGCTTCCAGGAAAGTCTCGTTTAAATTACATTGTATTATTTTTCCTACATGCAGATTTCACATAATGCTACCTGCAAAATTCATATAATGCACAGAATTCCACCTACAAAATTCACATTATGATACCTACAAAATTCACGTTATGTCACCTGTTCACATTATGCTTCGAGCAAATATCACATTTTGCTACAAAAATTCACATTACACGAAGCTTGAAGAAATATGCTTATCCAAACTTTCAAGCACTCCGATGTCAAATTTGCAAGACTGAAAAAATCTTTCATCTAAAATGTATACACAATCAATAATGACAGTAGGAAAAACACTCAAAATGCCAACAAATGTAACTAAAGTATTATTTGTGTTATAATATGTCACATAGCTTTTTAAGTAGCACATTTTGCTACAAAAATTTACATTACACGATGCTTGAAGATATATGCTTATCCAAACTTTCAAGCACTCCAATATCAAATTTGCAAGACTGAAAAAATCTTTCATCTAAAAGGTATACACAATCAATAATGACAGTAGGAAAAACACTCAAAATGCCAACAAATGTAACTAAAGTATTATTTGTGTTATAATATGTCACATAGCTTTTATAAACTTAAAAATAATTACCACCCTTTATGAATAACTAAACTTATCATAAGAACTTTGCGACATATAAACTGATGAACCATGCAATAAAGAAAACAATGACCTACCTTGTTATTTTGGTTCCAAAAGAAATCGCAAACGAAGTATTATCTGTTTTTTGTTATAATAATAAATGTTTGTTTACAGCATCATATCCCTGACTCTACTTAAAGACATGGACACAACTCTACTTGATGACCGGAAACCAGTTTTCCATTTTCAGTTATACTTACCGTGGCCCAAGAGGTCCAAAAACAACCACATATCAACTATTTTTATCAATTCATCATAGAGAGCCTTTAATAAAATGTAGAGGGGAGAGAAGGCACTCTAGTTCTTAATCAATAGATACATTGAAATGTTCTTGAGACATTTGAACACAGGTATAAAAAAACGGTTTTATTAAGCAATTGTTCTATTTATTATTATGGTGCTTGTATTTTTGCTTTGAAAAATTTATTTGTATTAATGGTGTTCAGCTTAGGGTTGCAGGATAATTTTTCTAATGTTGGAAAGTATTTTCCAACTTCATCTCTTAATGACGGTATCAGTTGGATTCCAATGTCAAGCGGTAGAATAAATGTAAACTATTTGAATAACTACATAGGCAAAGGAAGGAATTGTGGAGTTTAAAACCGACAGAAATGGAAGAAGGACCTTCCTAGCCGTTTCCTCCGGTCCTAAAGCTGGATAGTTGACATATGACCAGTCATGTATGAACCCAGAAAAGAAAGAAGAAAAATAGTAAGGAAAGAAGAAAACATTTATCTATTTCAAAACTCTGTCTCTATTGGTTTTTAGCTTTCTTTGAGAAGGAACATTACAGTTTTCTGAACCATTTGTAGCTAGGGTTAGATAGACAAAAAAGGTGAATATAAACAAAAACTTTTATTGTTGGAGTTTGAGATATAAATTTATGGTAGAAAGGAAGATAAATGTGGTATTTTGTGTTATTTTTGAAAACATGATGTTACAACAATGAATAATTTTGTGTATGTCTGAACCGTATTCTTTTTGATACAGATGTATGCTCTGTTGTCTAATTTGTGGCAGTACTGTTCGCTTGCTTGTTGCCTGCACCGTTGTCGAGACAAAAAAGGAAGTAGTCTGACTTCGACACAACAAATTGACAGGAAAAAAAATGTTGAATTTGCACAGATGACTTTATACATGTACTGTAATAAATAAACGTATCCACTTCAATACTAGTGACTTTTGTACGGAGATTAACTTAAATACAAACATATTTACCACTTCTCTCGATTCAAATATTAGGTACATCCATTCACCAAAGATTTAAGTAAATAATTCATATAAATCATATGTAACATACATCATGCACATATTGATCATCTAGTGAATTTATTTTGTCGTTATATGGAACTATTCTTCTTTTACTATACACACATTTGTCTAAATATATACATAAATTGACACATGTCCCTTTACTGTTTATCTTTCCTGTCTCATACATGGAAGCACCGTAAAACGGTGTTATAACAATTTGTCATAGAAAACAAGTGCTTTATCGAAAGCTAATCTATTTTGCTTTGCATCAATGATAACCCATAAAAATAAATAGTTAACATATCCCGACGGTATTTGACTGACTCTGGAATCGATAAAAGACTTTTAATAATTAAGCCAGCCAACATATTTTTAATTATCTTGCTGTCGTTATTGGATACTCGGGAGCATTCGTTTAAATGATTGAAAAATTCTATACAAAATATGTATAAGTCTACAAATATTTCTTCTATCAACTTAATGACAAGTTAAGATCAAATATGAATGTGATAAGTGTGCTACTGTTTTTCATGTCTTTTCCCATGTTGACATATTGTCAAAGTGGTACGGATGTGAGTGCACTGTTAACTCATTTATTCACTACTGAAGGTTACAATAAAAAAGTACGACCTTTGAAAGACCAAACAACAACAATGCTAATTAGCGTGGACTATTTCCTTAACTGTGAGTAGTAAATTTAATAGATGATTATAATTATTAATACTAGTTATTCATTTTTATAATAACAATATATCATTATATAAGATATATGTATCAACATCTTACTAAGAACTATCATCCAAATTAATTGATAAGTCATTTAACATAGAATTATTTTTATCAACTATTAACAAAACTAAAAGGTAATCATAAGTAAAAGTTAAATTAATTTACCTTAAATCATTTCCCTTCATTATACAAAAATGTATTTACGAACTGAAAAGGAATTCTCACAGATTAGCCTTTTCCACCGTTATGTAGTCAGACTATAGTCGGACAAGTCAGCACTCGTCTGCAATATAATCAAGCCCTGTTTCTTTTTCTTTCTTTCTGGCGGATTTTATGTCGCACTAGCACAGTGTAGGTCATATGGCGACTTTCCAGCTTTACTGGTGGAGGACGACCTCATGCAGGTGCCCCTCCGTGCGTAATCCTAGGCCCGAACGGGCACCTGAATAGAACCACCTCCGTAAGCTAGCTGGATAGCTTCCACACATGAAAGTATTCAAAGTAGCTGTCGGTAACACACAGCGGTAAGAGGCAAGTGGTTTGATGTCAACGACCTTAACCACTCGGCCACGGACACCTTTTATAACCAGGCTCTATCCTGTTAGCTGCTATATCTTTATTACCAAAATTGATAATGGACAGTTCTAACAATATGGAGACAGGACGAATTAATTAAAACAAGTCAGGAGGCAGTCTGGCTAAAGTTCAGATCTACCTATTTCTGTTTACGACCGTTTATGTTTCGCTTTCTTTATTATTCGAATTTCCCGAGAAAGCTATTTTTAGCCATGTAATCAAACCGGTTTTTACATAGGCATTAGAAAAAGTATCAAAATACCATTATCCTTAAAAGTTAAACAAAGTGTTTTGATTTTTTGTTATTAAAGTAATTTTTAACTTGAAATAATATTTAATTTTTAATTGGCCAGATCGTTTTGCCAGTTTACCTGTCGGCTATATGGACAACGGCAAGTTTGTTCGCGAAATTGTGACAATTTCCTACTCAGCATTAGTTTTCCCAGAGTTAAAATTAGAAGCCGCGTCGCTTTCAAAATTATGAAAGCTCGCCGATGATTGGGCTCGCCGATGATTGGCTAAGTGAATGATCACCAGAAACAACTTCGTAATTGGTCACTGTTAGATCCAAAATCGGAGCTCTATTAATCAGCTTGTTCAGGAGGCTAAGGGTTATAAAGGTCGTATCAGTGTCATTTATCAGAAAAATAAAATAGAAATACAATTACCTATATCGTTTCAATTTAGTTTTTTCTGTATCTGACACTATCTTTTAGCTTTATCTTATTTCATTATGAATGCACTGTTCTTCAAAGATACATGCGTTCATCTGTAAAATATTTTCATCAATGAAAAAGGATCCAAAAATCAAACACGGATGATATCATTAAATGTCAACATATATTTATGGCGCATATGTCATATTTTTTCAGCTGTAATCGATTTCGATGAACAAGAAGAAAATTTGAAAATATCTGGCTTTTTAAGTTGCGCATGGATCGACGAGTATTTGAATTGGGACAATACTTCATTTTCAAACATTCTTGAGTTATTCATTGTAAGTATACGTGCACTTTAAGATGCTTGAAACCAATTTATGCTAAAATTTATGATATGAAAATCAAGTGAGTTTGATAAGGTACAAATTGGAGATTATAATTATATTGTGATGTTGTATTATGGTCAGAGAGTAACAGTCATTCTACATGCATTTTAATTTTTCATTATTGACTTATGCTATTTCAATGATTTTACTTGTTACTTTTTGTTAACGTGACATGTCCATCCGAGGGTTTAGTGAGTTTACAGATGAAAGTTAAAATAAGATTACATTAATATGCTCTTTCAATTTTATTATTTACGTCGCATGAACAATAAATAACTCACATAGCCAAAGGAAATTTCTATAAATATCCATCAGAATTAACCTGTACCTTTCAATTTATAAAAAGGTTGGGACAGTCTTTTTTTATATTATAAGCAGATTTATATTTTATCCTTAACATTTTCAATATCAATTGTTTGTCAATCACAATTATAACAGTCAATGTTAAAAAAATGTTAAAAATAAAAAATCAGTTCAAGTCAAATTGAAAATGGAAAAAATAGCATATCACTTAAATTTTAGAGCGCACACTTTTTCTGATTATCATTAACACTTTTAATTAATTGACAATACAGTCTTTACGACATTGTCAATAATATGCCTCCATGACGTTTTATCGTGGTCACTATTGCGCCATTTTAATTATATTGATGTTTATATCATAACGACAACTACTTGATAATTATATTTTTTCAGCCACAGGATGAGATTTGGAAGCCAGATATTTCTCTCAGGAACACATTTAAATCCTTTACTGGACTTGGTGCCAGTTACCTGAATGTCTACGTTACATCTAATGGGGTTGTTGAATGGAGACCATACCAGGTAATCAATGTGTTCATTCGGCAGTGGCATGCATTGTTTAGTTTTAGAAAGGAATTCATTTATTTGGCAGAGGCATGCACTGTTTAACTTACAGTTTGGCAATCATTTATAGAGAACCTGCTGTAAAAGTGGGTCGGACACAAAATGGTCTGTATATAATTTTTGTTTCTCACGACTCAAGCTTATTTCAGTAGTGAGTTGTTACGGATCCATGCTGTTTACTTACAAACCCTATAACAAGTAGAGAAACTGATAGCGAACAGCATGGATCCTGATCAGACTGCGCGGATGCGCAGGCTGATCTGGATCCATGCTGGTCGCAAACCCATTATGTTGGTTTTGTCATGGCGCAGCTCAAATTGAAACTGTTCTACATGTTCTAAGTACTAAGATTTTGAATGTGTATTTCTCTTGAATTTAAACTTGATCTTGGTAAGAATGAAAATTTGAAAAAAATGAAATGTTGGATACATTGCGTCCAAGAGCATGTCCGCTTAAAATAGTTTTTTTCACGTGCAAGACATACTTTGTCAAATAAATCTGTAACAGTGGTAAATGTGTGTAGAAGTTATTTTAAGCACAACTAATGATCAGAAATAATCCAATCAATTAATTCGGCCAATTTCTTTTCCTCCATACCTAAATTTTAATTTGTAGATCCACCGTGTATATCCAGAAATGTGAAAATGATGCAGGGTATATGCAAAAATAATGCAAGTTGTGCAATTCTATAGCTGAAACGAGCACCACATTTATCATTATTTACATCAGACATTATTATAAAACGTAATGCCTTAAAATATTATATTGAATGTATTTTTGTAAACATGTTAGTTGTAAGGTTAGTGGAAATGTATTATAACTAGCAATGAGCTAAAATAGCCTGCTATTATAGTATATCTTTTTCAAGAACGAGATGTCGAAAACGGTTTTAGGTTTTATCAAATAGATAAATACAGAATCCCTAAAGAAAGCCCAAAACGGCAAAATTGAAAATGTTGCAGGCTCGGTTTGATTGAGCCTGTTTATGGACGGTACTGGAAAGTGCAAGTTACCGTCCACGCCCCCTAGCACCGGCTTAAGCAGAATTCAACATTTAAACATGAAATGGTAAAATTTTGAATTTAGAAACATCCGCAGATGTGTTCATACGGCGGTTATCATGGAACCTTCAATGTGACACTTCCGTGCCATTCCATGAAAAGCGGCGTATGGTCCCCAAGTAATAAAAAGCGTGTGCCCTAAACGAGAAAACAATGGGCGGAACTAAATAAAATGGAATTTTGAAAGGGGATCAGAGGTTATGAAGCCTGCGTATCACAGATAAGACGTCAAAAGACAAATTTAAAAAGCAGGCAACATATCCTAAGGGTGATTAAACATTATTCAAGTAGGAATATTGGAACCACCCAACTAGAAACCCAGCCTGCAACGCTATCAATTTAGCCGTGGTGGACTTTCCTTAGGAATTCTGGTTTCTCTATTTTATTGTCACATAAGTGTTAGGTGTGGCACGTGGCGGCTGTAAAATGTCTCTCCGTACATTTAATCAAATGTGTTTTATTTTTGATCCTTGAAGATCGTTCAGCACTACATTATTGTAGTGAGTGCATGTTTTCGGAACTTTTTTTTTCCATTTCAGCGTTTTATCTAGTGGGTGGTTGCACTATTACTCACTTCAATATTGTTTAATCGCCCTTAGGATATGTTACCTGCTTTTCAATTCTGTCTCAGTTATCTGTAATATGCAGGCGTCATAACCTCTAATCCCCTTTTAAAATTCAATTTAATTTAGTTTCGCCCATTATTTTTTCGCTTAGGGCACACGCATTTTATATTTGGGGACCAAATGGAATGGAATGACTGTTTCATGATGACCGGCTTATGAACACATCTGTGGATGTCTCTTAATTCAAAATTTTACCAGTTCATGTTTAAATGTTGAATTCTGCTTAAGCTGCTTAAGCCGGTGCAAGTGGGGGGGGGGTGTGGACGAAAGCTTATAATTGCCACTAGCGTCCATGAACAGGCTCAATCAAGCCGAACCTGCAACATTGTCAATTTTGTCGCGTTGGGCTTTCTTTAGGGAGTATATATCAAATAGAAACAAATCCCAACTTTTCAAACGAAATGTTTCAATCTGTCACTTTTACATCTAAGGTGATTCATTATATACATTTGTATTCAAAAGTCACCAAACAATGTAGTCAATCTTCTATTTCTGGTGTACATATACAATTATATGTATATTATTGCATTATTTGTTTGTTTTTACAGGTTCTGGAATCAACTTGTTCGGTTGACATAACTTTTTTTCCATTTGACACACAGACGTGTGAGTTAAAGTTCACAGCATGGAGTTATTCAAAATCTCATGTCGATCTGAATGTGGGAAGCAAAGGTGTTCAACTTGAAGAGTATGTAGAAAATTCCGAATGGGAATTAGTTCAAACTTCAGCAAGAGAAACGAATACGGAAGAAGCAGCTGTATTCTTCACGTTAAAATTAAAGAGGCGACCATACTTTTACGTGTTGAATATCATCGTACCAGTAATTTTTCTCTCCCTCCTGGACATATTTGTGTTTGTTCTGCCTGTGTCGTCTGGAGAAAGAGCAAGCTATGCGATCACAGTTTTCTTGTCAATGGCCGTTTTCTTAACAATAATAGCAGATGCATTACCACAAAATTCTATGACAATGTCCTTGTTGTCGGTATATTTAATGCTTATGATAATTGTGAGTACTTTTATTGTTATTTTAAGCATTGCAGAATTGAGACTTGCAACTCGAGACGTCAATACGCAACCTATAAGCAAAAGCTTTTTGTTTTTCATTAAATGTTCACATGTAATTACATGTAAGGTCTGTAGAAAGTCAGTGGCTCCATCAACTAGGCAAGTAAGTTCGAAAGAAAAGAAGCGCAATCTTCCGGATAGTAGGGTGACATGGCCGGACATCGTTGAAGCTATAGATATTGTCTTCTTTTGGATCACGATGATATACACCCTTCTCATCACCCTTATCATCGGTGTAGTGGCTGTGAATGGTGGAGATACTTAGAAAGTGATATAATTTATTGTTATAGATACGTAAGAATAATAAAATTATAATAAAATTTTGGTGCAAATTGATAAATACTAACAATACAATTATACGGAAAATGTTTTTGATACTTCCGGTAATGGCGGCGTAGACGTTAAATTTTTGCAGAGCAGAAAAAAGTCGAAAATAACAGCCAGATTTAGTTTAATTGTATTGTTTCTTGACAAAACTTTGTACTTTTGATCATCAGAGATTAATTCAGTAACGAACTTTTACAGAAACACTGTACGAACTGTATACGACCCGGTACACGAACCGGTACAAGCACGTGAAAAACGCGCAATATTATCAAAGCGTATTGTATTGCTATTTTGAGCATCGATACACTTTGTTATTAAACATTACACAACCAGGTTGAATGTAAACATGTTCAACACACCTAGCTCAGGAAGCAAACGTACTATTGGTGAAACTGTGAGCCCATCAGATGGTGTTCAAGGTGATCATGTAAATTCCCCCATCCCCCTTAGAAGAAAGGCTTCTCTTCCAGATCTTCAAAATACTGAAAAATCATCTATCTTACTTCAGGGTGCAAATTATGATGTTTGTGAGCTTGTCAAAACTGTAGCCCTATAGTTATAACAGCAATATCTGAAGCCATTGTTCCTTCCATTATATCAAGCCTAAAGCAATATTTTGAACCTTTGAATACAAAAATTGACCTTCAAAATCAAGAAATTGCCATACTACATTCAAAATTGGCACCTATGAAAAAAACATATAGCATCTGGAAATTGAAAATATTAACCCAAGGAAAGATCTAAGTGAAGCCAAAGATCAACTAAAAATCATAGAAAGGGAACATGACAATTTAGAACAATATAGTAGGAGAACATCTTTAAGGTTCCACAGAGTACCTGTAAGTGGAGATCTGAAATCATTAAACACTGATGAAGAAATAGTGAACATTTGTAATAATAAAATGTCAGCCATTCCACCAATTTCAGCTGAAGACATAGAAAAGTCTCATTTATTAGGCTCTTTGAGAGATGGCAAAGCACAGATTATCTGTAAATTCAAATCATGGAAATGCAAAAACAATGTCTTCATGTGTAAAAATAATCTTAAACATCACAAAAGTGACAGCTTTAATGTCTTCATTACTGAAGATCTTACTAAAAAGAGGCAATTCATTGTCCAACAATTGAACATAGCTAGAAAAAATGACAAAATAGAATCCTTCTTGACAACTGATGGGAAGATTTGCTACAAAGAAAAAAAATCTAACAATTCTCAAAAAGATTTGAAGAAAATGATCAATACCATTGATGAAATTGAACATCTCCTTCCAGATCCATTGACTGAAATGACAGAAGATCCCTGGAAGAATCTTCCTCAATAAATGTTTTCAAATGACTATAAATACATCCATTTATATTTAAACACATTTATAAAGTAACGACCTTTCACTTAATTCATAACTAGTTAATTGTTTGTTTATTTGTTTCTTAAAACATATTGGTAGTTTAACATATTAGCAATTAATTCTGTAGTACATATTTTTTCTTCTCACTTAATGAATTCATTTAAGATGTTGTGATATTGATACAATGAGATAATGTGAAAATAATGATGTGATTAAGTGATAATGATATCATGTTAAAACTATTTTGCTGATAGAAATAATGATTAACACAAGATGATGCTATTGATGTTGATAATGATGATGGTGATGATGGTGGTGATGATGATGATGATGATGATGATGATTAAGTGATATTCATGAAACATAAATCTGATGATAATATTTTAATGTTGATATAGTATTGATGTGATAATGATGATCTGTTGATGATCTTTTAGAATACATGTATATATTTAAAGACTGTATGACATTACTGATAATGATGATATAATCTTGTGATGACAAAATTATGATATTGTAATGATGTAATGATAATAATGTAATGATGATGTCACAGGGTTTATATGATTGTGATGTACTGAAAATATGATAATGATGAAGATGATGATGTGATCATGATGATGTAATGATGATGATGATGATGTGATCATGATTATGTAATGATGATGTGATCGTGATGTAATGATGATGATATGTGATCTTGATGATTAAACGATGATAAAGTGATCATGATGAGATGTGTTCATAAAATGTAATGATAACGATATAATCACGATATGATGTAATTATTACATTTGTATTAAGATATACTTATAAATGTGACGATGTGATCATGACATGTGATGTTGTTGTATTGTATGGTGATGATTAGATTTTTTTCTTTGATGATGATGATGCTGTTTCTCTCTTTTTTAACGATAATGACATGATGATGATTATTTGTAAATATGTACAGTATATATGTATTATAATCTAATAAGTGTAATATAAACTGAACACTAAATCTCACTTAAAGTTTATAGAATATCCAATTTTTATTTTTTGTTGTTTTTTGTTTTGTTTTCGTTTTATAACTATGTAAACACTGTTAAAAATATCGTTTTTCACCAATCTAACTTCTAAGTATATTTTTCGAAATGATATCCTGAAAATATTTTTAATATCCGCTGATTGTTGTTACCGATTTAATAATATCTTCTAATTTTTTTTTTAATTTACAGAGCATAAAATTATATTGATGTCTTCACTTATTGATAACCAAATTCATTTTATATAATCCAAAGTTATCAACTGTATTTCGCAACTGTCTATTATACTATTGTGTAAAACTTAATCGTGTAATTTATACAATATGTGTAAACGTAGTACAAATACAGGGTGTTTGTTAAAAATGTGGCTAGTCATGTAACATTTATGTTATAGATCCCTAAACATAGCTAAAGTTTGGTCTGTTCAAACAAGTATTTATATCTTTAATTGACGTCGGCTTATTCTCTGCTCGCAAATATTTCTTTTATGTAAATAAGCATCAAATGATTATTTTATTTTCGTGTATTTTTGTTGTGATGGTTTGTCTGTTCTGTTTTAAAATGTCATTTTCAGTTTCTTTTATTCATCTATGGCTGCTCATAACATTTCCTTTGCATTTCGTTTTCTTACTTTCCAATAGGTAATATAAGCATTGGTGATTGGAGAGCAGCTATAGGATTGTTTTATAATGGAACACATTGTTTTCATTATTCATATATTTTTTTTTAAACAATACCAACAAAAACACCTCTTCTATATTTTTGGTTTGTTTATAGCAATATATGTTAGAAGTATTTTTTGTACTCTGGGTTTTTGTTTGCTTAAATTTATATTATTTATCAACATTTTTATTCTTCTTTGCAATAATAACCTAAAAAAAAAAATTCCCAAAACATTACAGAATTTTTACGATTATTTTACTTTATGGGTTCTCAGGCCCTTTTTTTATAAAAGAACTATAATTATTGTTATCAGGTGACATAGAAACTAACCCGGGTCCTAACAATCAAAATGATGCATGTCTCTCAATTATTCATCAAAATATTAGAAGTATAAGAAACAAAATTGATTTCATAAAAGATCATTTCAATGATTTCGAAATTTTATGTTTTACAGAAACTCACTTAACTATTACAATTAAAGACGATCAAATATTTTTGGATGGATATAGATGTTTATATAGAAAGGATAACACTGCCCATTCAGGGGGGATAATTATCTATACGTCCGATAAATTGTTAACAAAAAGAGTTTTTGAATTAGAAAAGTATTCTGAAGAATCAATATGGATTAATGTTAAAGATAAGAATAAGAACATTTTGATAGGCACTGTTTATCGTCACCCAAATTCTACTGTTGAGTTTTGGTCAAAACTAGATACTTGTTTAGAAAAAGCGCATGAGTTGTCGAAGTACATTGTTTTACTTGGTGATGTAAATGAAGATCAACTCAATCATTCAAACCATAAAATACGTGATATCTTAATTATTAATAATATGAGTGATGTTATCAATCAGCCGACTCGTGTATCAAATACATCTGCCACACTTTTTGACCCAATAGTAATTTCTAGTGAAATAAAATCATTTGACTTTGGTGTTTCAGAAACTCCGAGCGACATACTAGTAAGTGATCATTATGCTAGTTATATTTTTATTCATTTTGAAGCGCTCCCTTTTAATACTTATAAGCGTTGTGTTTGGAATTATAATAATGCGGACTTTGTTCGGTTAAATGAATTGATAACTTCATATAATTGGTCAATATTATCTAATGGCACTGTAGACGAGGCTTCCGATTTATTTACTTCTTCATTTTAAGATTTGACAAAACGATGCATTCCATATAGAGAAGTTACAATACAACCATTCGACAGACCATGGTACGATTCGATAATACGAAGAACTTCCCGGAAGCGTGACAGACAAAAATCACGTGCAATTAAAACTAATAAATCGTCAGACTGGATTTTATATAAAAAATTAAGAAACAAGGTTAATAATTTAAAAAAGCACGCAAAACAAGTTTTTTTTTAAATAATTTAGAATTCACAATCAACGATATATGTAGTAATAATCCTTGCGAATACTGGAAAATTGTGAAAATGTTAGTTAAAGATAATAAACAATGTGAAATAATACAGCCATTGAGACTTAATAATGACTTGTATGTATTTACTGATAAATAAAAGGCAAATGCGCTCAATGATTACTTTGTGTCTGTATCATCTATTGATGATTCTAATACTTCTTTACCCATTTTCAATCTTAAAACAAACGAATCTTTGTGTGACATAATAATTAACGAAGAAGAAGTTAAAGACATTCTTTACTGCTTAATAATAAAAAAGGCTAGTGGACCAGATGGGATAAGTCATCGTATGCTTAAAGAAACATCTTCTAGCATTTGTAAACCTCTATGTACACTTTTTAATCGTTTTCTTCAAGAAAATACATATCCCACATGTTGGAAAAACGCAGGTGTTATGCCATTATGTAAAAAAGGGGAGCACGATCTTTGTTCTAATTACAGACCAGTTTCTTTAATAATCATCAAATATGTA